GAGGGAGGGGGGGAACATAGAAAATGTTTTGCCTTTGTCTTTTCATTTAAGTAAAGGCATTGTCTCTGCAGAGAAAGAGGAACTCCACTGCTTACATCACCTGCTCTATTTGATATAAATAGATGCATTTGCATCAGTTCCAGACTTCTCACAGCTAGGTTAGGTAAGACCGAAGAGGAGCAAATCAATTCTATTTTATCACTGTGTAGTAGATGGAATGATTTTGAGTATTGTTGTTATATCCCGCAGAAATAGGCGTGAGAAAGATAGGGGAGGAAGGGGCAAGTCAGTTATTTCTAACTCAAGTATTACCCAGTGTTGTCTGATCACACTCAACATCCAGCAATGAATATTTGCACGCATCTTCTATGAAGTATGTTTGTGCAGTTCATTTTAAAATACATTTCATGCTAAAATATATGCAGTGGTTTCTCTTGATAAAGTCCTCAACTGCAGTTAAAAGCTTGAGGTGTTTACTGCTCCTGCACTACCAGTGTGTTGTCCTTGTCTATTTGTTTGTCATGATGACAAAAATTTAAAGCTCTGATCCAGCTATAATCATCCTCTCTGCTCATTTTCATTTTTTTTTTTAATCTTATTTATCTTTTGAGTTACTTCATTGCTTTCCTGGTTGGTTCTCCATGCACCCCCATTTATTCCCTGTGCTAGCACAGTGGTGGTGTGATAAGAAGGACTGGGATGGGAATTCGGTGAGGGGATTAAGGAGGTGCTGGAGCCAGCCCTGCTGCTGGGGGGAGAGGGAACTGGGGAAGCAGTGTTTCCAAATCCAGTTAGAATTCTGCCCTATAGTGTCATTTTCAGCTGTTTGGGCTTATTTTTGACCAGTGCATTGATTTATATTCTGTAGTTGTACCAGCTATATGTCTTGTTTTCTAGTGTAAGTACTAAATAGAAAAAATCCTTTTGTTTCTTTTTTTTTTTTTTTTATTGTGACTGTGATGGAAATCAAGTTGTCTGCTGTCCCAGTCTTTTTCTTCAAGCATCTTTTTATTGGTCTTGCCACTGCCCTGAATCCAAACATTGTTCTCTCTCTTTCGCAGTTAAGACAGATGATAAATACCTCATTTCAAGTTCGTGCATGATAATGCTGGAATCAGCATCAGTGTTTGAAATGGAAAGTTAAGGACATGTCAGTTTTACTTTTAATGAGATTTTCTTCCAAATGAATTCCACTTTTTGAAGATTAATGTCTTCAGCCACTCCTTGTTTTTATCAAGATACCTGAAGTACTTTCTAGGTTTAAACCTGCTGTTTACAAGCTTCCGACCACAGTGCCAACTATCATACTTAGAAAACTGGAATTTCATCTGAGATGGCAAGCTCTGCATCTGATACTGATTTTGTGGAAAAAATAGATACGTTAAAGAAGTAGGTTTAAAAACCAAAATGGTACTTAAACTTCAGAAGGATTTCAGTGCTTTTCTCAGTAAGTTCAGTAATTTATTTGTCTCTTCATGTTGGGAGCATGGCATCCTCAGCTCTTAGGGTTTTTAATAAAATTAATGTTCTGCTGACCCAGATGATCTTAGCAACTGCCAACAGGTTTCTAAGTAAAGCAAAAATTGTGAATGTTAATTGAAATCCCATTAATAGGCGTTGTCTGGAGATGGGTCTCTTAACATGGGTTTTAACTGAAGCTAGATGACTTACGCTGGCTCTCTACCTAAAATGAAATTAAAGGCTGCAACTTTATGGTAATGAGTTCTGTGATTATCTTTTCAGATGTAATTACAATTAGTTCATTTGGCTTGTGTGTATACCAAGGGTATTTAATTCATCAGCTGAGCATCTGAAGATTTGAGTTTCTTGGTAGTGTAGCCACTCACAAACAGCAAAAGTTTTCTCAGTGTTATTTATTGTATTGGTGGACTTCTAATCTGGCCTTATTTGGCTGTTTTCTTAAAATGAAAAGTAGTGTTGCAACTCTCGTGACAAGCTAGTCATCCCTTTCTCTTTGCTAGACTTGCATCTGTACAGAACTGCAATGGAGAATTTTGCCAGCTACTGAAAGAACTTGTAAGCTAATGACTTTTATTACTCTTCCTGGATTTAAATTCTAGTTGTTTCAACAGATTAGTGGTGTAAACTGTGTGAATTCCGTGATCCATGCTGATTTCCTTTGTTGCATTCTTGTTTTCACCAACTTCCATGTATCGTAAGTCAGTAGAAGCAGAGTTGTCATCTGATACGTCTGTACGATTTATGAAAACCTGTTTGTTTCACTCTGCTTCCTGCTGGCTTAATAACCAAAGTCATGTAATGAGTTTTGATAAGCACTAATCGAGCTTTTTGACATTTGGGCTTGTCCAAATTCTTTGCGCATCCTGTCATCTTTTGGCTGGAACTCAGGAAAAAAAGGAGAGCTCTACCACCTTTGGAAGAAGGGGCAGGTGACTCAGGAGGACTACAAGGATGTTGTGAGGTTATAAAGGGAGATTAGAAAGGCGAAGGCCCAGCTAGAACTTAAACTCGCCACTGCTGTTAAAGATAACATATTATATTTTTACAAATATATCAGTGACAAAAGCAAGGCAAAAGAGAACCCCCCTCCTTTGTTGGATACAGAAGGTAACCTTGCCACGAAGGATGAGGAGAAGG